GTATTTCGCTTCTCTATTGAAATTTTCGTTTAAATTGATTGTTTCAAAAGTGAACGTGCTGCGAAAAGCGGTTTGTAAGTTCGTATTCAGCTCGTAAAGATCTATTAAAAACGCCTATTGAAGGTTATGAGGTCGCGAAAAAATTAACATTTTTTAACAGTGTAATAAGACGAAATAAAGTATAAACATGTTAATTTATGTGTACTCGTATATTTTGATACACGTGTACCTGTGTATTAAAAATATATTAATTATATAGGCATGTATACGTGTATTTGGATACACGTGAAATAAAGATCTCTACATAGACAAAAGTGACCAGATATTGGCTGGACGAGGGGGACAAGGGTTAAAGCTAGTTAAAGTAATAAAAATGATCGATTGTACACCATATCATGTTTATCAAGTTTCAAAGGCTGACATTAAAAAGGAGCAGCACTTGTGTTAGTATAATTGTATGAAACATATTGAATTATTAAATAAACTCTTTATTATTTTCTGCTAAACGTATAACACCTAAAAATTTTAAATTAAACTTTAAATGTGTAAATTGTAAATATATTTAATAGAAACGGGTACAAGTAATTTAACATTTTTTGTCAATCGTAGGTATAGTAAAAAATATATTTATAAATAATGTGGTAGAAGTGAATATTCATTGACAATTAAAATCAAATTTCACCTACAATTAGGTTTAAATTCAAATTGCCATTGCATTTGTAAGAGTTAGGTGGCCACATTGCTGACGAAATTCGAACACAATGTGGGCTTTCTTTATTATCGTTTAAATTTATTGTTTCAATAATGACCGTAATTAGTGTGCGAACTATGTCGTGCGCCGAAAATTCGACCGTTTCTATTGACTGCAATTAATTTGAGAAACTGGTTTATGTCTCCTTTTTACTGCAGGCTGCAGCTGCGGTAGCAGGTAACAAGGGGAAGACATCTGGTATTTCAGGTAATAAATCCAGGTAAACCCTACGGCTTAGGATCACATCAAGCTAGTGGATTCAATGCTATATGTAACGTATTTCCCCAAATGTAATAAAATATTATCTTTCAGGCGTGTTTAATCGTTTTGTTGAATTCACCTGACAATGAGTCGATATATTGTTCATTAACAAATGTACATAAGTTGCAGCGTCTCAAGATAATATTTAATTTCTTTATATGTAATAATTAGTTTACGAATTTTATGTAATTATAGCATACACATGTATAGAATTTTCAAAAATTCAGTATATGTACATCCATTGTAGAAAGTTAATTAATCTTGAATGAGGATTTTAGGTGGAACTTGACGAAACCCTTAGTAGGGTAATCAAATTTTTGTTTGATTTAGATTTTGTAAGCTAGTCCTTCAAAACTTATATTTGCATAAAACATTTGCAATCGAATAAAAGATATTTAGAAAATCTTGAGATGCCATCTACAGCAATAGGTCCAAGCTACTGGCCACTTAGTATTATATTCTTGTCATTAGATGGCGTTGTAATAACCTTTCAGCGCCAGTTCATTGAATACATATCTATTTAATTAAATACAATTATGTACAAATTTACGAAATTGAGAAGAAGACAAAAAAGTATATTTTTAGTTCCACTTAAGCTCAATTTCTGTATGACATTGTTACCGTCCGTGCTATATGTATACACATATATACTTAATTTTTTAACGTACATTGACATGCAAACTCGGTTTCCGCTAGGGGTAAAAGTGGTGTAGAAGAAAAGTCTTCTACCACTTGGTATTGGGAATTATTGAAATTCATGCCAAATTAACATTGGATGTAACATTTATTTCACTACCTGGAATAAATTTAACACGTGGTAGAAGACTTCTTCTACGCCACTTTTTCCCTTAGCGGAAGCCGAGTTTGCACGCGAGGATACATAACTGGTGAGTGAAGGGTATTGTGTCGCCATGTAACGGTAGGAATGTAATACTAATTGGCTAGTAGCCTGGTCATTATTACGTAGATTGCGCCACATATATTTTTGTTGCATTTCCAATTACTATGTACAAATTATAATAAAAATTAAATATTATGATAAGATGCTAAAACTGACAGTTATTAGTGCATAATATTGCTTTAGAAGAATACAACAAATTATCTGACACCATTGGAAAAATGAAATACTGTTTATTCATCATCATATTATTTACATGTGTATGTATAGTATGTAAATATCTAATAAAAAAAATCTTTATTATTAAATACATTTTATTGTATATGTATGTATAAATATTTGTATATATATTTGAAAGTACATTTAGATAAATAAATTTGTTCACAGTGCTCAAATAATTTGGAGTGTCTGTAACTCGGCAACATATGGCTGAAATGGCATGAATTATTCGAGCACTGTGTTCATTGGGCATCCAATAAAGGCAAGCAAATCTTGTCTGCAGCACGTGGGTTGCCCTGGCGAATACAATAATGCAAGACCCTAGAAGGGCTCAAGCTGTACAGGTCTAATTGCTTTTTAACACGGATTTGAAATTCCTGGCAGCCACATGTCGCTTGACTTTTATGATGCGCCGTGAAGAACAGACAATGGGGGAAAGTATCCTTTCTCCAGTTTCAGGTCAATAGAACCAAAACCGGCCGATATCTGTTTTGCCTCAAGCTTCGTCCGTTCTTTGTGACAATGCGCAGACCTTTTCTGCGTGGTACGTTCGTTTCATTGTATTTAAAAAGCAATATAAAAGTCAACATCTGGTCCGCATCTGATTGGAAAAACACAAAATCCGTCTTGGTTATTCGAGGCAGACACCGATTTATTATTTTTACGATTACCGTCTTTGAATGTTTCTTTATTAACAATTTATAAGAAAACATCAGGTCATGCCGTAGATAATGTTGTTTTTACATATGCAACATTAAAACCCTAACAAATGATTTTTATCGTATTCATTTATCAATAATGTATTGTCCATTATTTTCTAAGATTATATTCTACTTACCCAGTAATTTTTTAATTCCTCGCTTGAAAGATTCTTAAAATTTTAACGTAAAATATTTGGTCACTACTTTTTTTTTAGGTTCACCATTGTGTTAAATTTTTTACACTTTATGGTATTCTTTAGCGGTTGGAATAAATGAAATTTCTGTAGGTGTTAAGTAAGCTTAGAGTACAGTTGATAGGGTAATAATTATCAATTACAGTTTTATTACTAATCATTTGTGTAGTAATTTCGTTTGTAATTTTACACTGTCCTTTTATATCCTCCTCGTGTACTCCACAAACGTTTCTAACAATACTTTGGTATTGTTTCCTTTCTTGAACTCATGTAGCATACAGTGCAATCCCGGATTAAGATTTTTGTAGCACAGAATTATCAAACTTTCGAGGATCCCCGTACTTGAAAAGTTGGAGTAGGGGAACATTTTTTAATATGTACAACAAAATAAAATACACAAATTTAAAAAAATTGAAATTTATTCTAAATAAAATTAAATAAGATTTAATCATAACGAAGTGGAAGGTTTAGAACGTGGCCCTTCTGGGACATGGGGTCCAAGACTACAGTCCTCCCCCTTGATCCAGCGCTGATATAGTGCTATAACAGCGTTTCGTCAACAATTATTTCAATCAGTTTTTTCAAACACGAACTAGAGCAAGCGAACGATCTTTGTATTGAAGTCAAACTGAACTAGGATGCCTGAGATAGTACAGGTATTAGAGAATCCATAAACAATCAATTTAAATGAAATATGTTAGTTTTTGTAAATAGAATAAGAGGCGGCATTATTTACGGCACGTCCTGATCATTGGCGTAACTAGAATTTTTTTCTGTGGGGGGACAAGGTCCCCTCACTTTCGCCTATAACACTCCCCATCAGGCATCTATACGTAATTTATACCACGTGTGTGGGTTGCACAAAATACAGTTACACATTTTACAATAATTATTTACAAATTTGTTTAACACTAAAACTAAGAATAGAAGGATATAAATATAATTCTTAAAAATAAAAGAAATTTGAGATTGATTGAAATCAAGAGTATATTATGTGCAGATACGCACAATTAAAATCTATCATATATAAGCTTCAATTTACTGTTTTTTTTTCTGAAAAAATACTTTTCACATTCTCGAGCGCTAGTTCCCTTAATTGCATCCGACCCTTCAATTGATGTTGCAAGATTATTAGTTAAGTAGAATGTAAAAATTAAATTAATACTTTAACGTAATGAGGATAGTATTGAATTTTAGTACTTAGTTGCGTTGTGTATTGCATTTCGGCCCAAGTATTTATTTTTTATAACATAAGATTTTACTAATTGACGAATGTTTTTTTTTATATATATTTAAATAATTTTTGGACGGGGGATCAGGCCCACCCTGGTCCCTACCTAGTTCCGCCAATGGTCCTGATACATCATCTTGAACTGTGCTTTTTCGAACATGATATTGTTTGAATCTCAATTAAAAATAATATATTTACAAAAAGTATGTATGTGGTTAGGTAAGTGTAATGTTACGATACGTGGAGAGCACTACAATATTAATTATATTTTGACAATATTTTTATACTGCCCATGTAATTATTATTTTCGTAATTCATGTGAACCAGGTGTACCATTACGTCTACCTTCTAAGAAAACTAATCTAGAAGAGATAACATGAAACTTGATAATAAGTATCAGCTTTTAATACAAGATTACGTTAAAATAAATATTGACATGAATAAACTAATTAGTTTGCAAAATACAGAAATTATTTCAATCGTTCCCATCGAATGTCCTTGATTTAAAATTAACTTTAATGCTAATTTTATAATAATTAACGTTAATTACGATTCAAAGAGTCACAAGCACAAGTGATTTGACAATTGAATGCTCGATGTTCGTCAAATGTACCGCGTTCTCTCTCTTGCCAGCTGATTGGTCGGTTACGGTGCAATATAATTGGGCGGGGAAACCTGATTGGTGGAGCGAGGAACTGTATCTTACGTTGGGAGGTGATTGGCTGAGTAGTACTCCGCAGAGGTGCAATGGAGTTTAGAAACAGGTCTTCGTGAACGATAAACAGCAGATCAGGAATGTAGAGTCAGTTTCATTCGAAAGTTTGAATCAGTTCAACTCAGTTTTAAAAAAGTTCCGTAGCTTCTTTATATACTTATACGACGATTAAGGAAAAAGGTAGGTCTTTACTCGTACGCATGTATAACGATGGCCTAAATTTTTTTTCATCAAGTGTTTCGTCGTTCCTCGCGTTGCTTTGTAACTTCGATTGATACAGATTTATTCTAAATTCGAAGTAATTCGCGTACGCGACGTATTATCCCCTGCAGAGTGCAAATCAGTGTTGTGTGTAGTCCAGTATAAGTACAGCTGTTGTCAGTGCCTTTCCGATTTGAGTTGTGTACTCGTTACATGTCATCTGGAACTAAATATAATTGGTTTTATCAGTTTATATGTCGTTCAGGTAACAGTGTGCTCATTTCAACAAAATAAGTTGCTATAACATTTCCACCGTTCATTACACTTGCTGTTTTTTTATTTTCGGTGAAAACGCCATCCCAGTGACACCGCTGGTGGCAATTGCATTTCCAATCGCCCTGTTAGACCTAATAAGTACTGTAACATTGACGGAATAAGAATGACATACTTACAGAGGCACTTGGTTCAAATGATTCCGAATATTAAATTCATTGAAATTAAATCGTCTTGAGAGTGGTAATTGTCCGATTACTAATTGTCATTAGAATAGTAATCTCGTAGGAATACAGTGCCGGCCAAAAGTTTTGAATTACACTTTGTGATTTTTAACAGTGAATCATTCGGTGCACTTTCTCTAAATTACAAGTAACACTTTTAGCAATTTTAACCGAATTTATAACATAATCATTTTCTTGTGAATACAATTATTTGTAATTACTTGAATAAGTTTAATCTGAAAAATGCCTGCTTGTCAAAGAGTGATTCTAAACTTTTTACTGGCAATGTAAGTATTGAATGCGTATGAAAATAGAGATTAAGTATTCAAATAATAGTATGGTCTTTCTGTATATTTCATTGAAGTAAAGAACTTCTTATTGCCATTATTTTAAGTAATTATTAAATACTTATGTTTTTATTGAAGCGATATTTAACGAGTTCGTTAATTTTATCAATTCCTTCAATACCGATTCGATCGCCATTTACCGGCGTTGCTGAGTTACACCACTTACAATTGAAAATCGGAAATACTAATGTATTGTGCATTCTATTCTATTGTTTAAATTTTGTATTGTTACCGTATGAATTTAACGTTCCAAAAACGAAAGTGTTCTAAAGAAGTTCTTTGTCAAAGTATCCACGTCTGTAGTATTTAGTGTAGTATGTGGTAGTATGTAAATCCATGAAGTTGTTTCTTTGCTATTTAAAAAACTCTTTTCTAACAAAAAAATTCTGTTTCCTGAAAATTTTCCTTTCTATTTCATTGTAAATATAATTTATTGATCAAACTGCTTCTTAACAAACTAAACCTCAATAAGTGTGTCAAATTAGAAAAAATTACCGTTTGTTTTGGCGAGTGTTTACATTTTTTAAATTTTGACTTTTGCAAATGTTTACAGGATTTTAGTTATTGCAGTTACAACTTATATACATACACACTACTATTATTCCTCGTTCTGAATAATATAAGGAATCAGTGATGGATTCAAACAGGGACGAAGTGATAAAAAATGTACGAGCATGTCTGATAGTTTCAAAGGGCGGTGTTAAAATAGACCACTTAAATAGTAAGTAACGAATGAAGTAGAAATTGGAATAGGTCATTAGAATTGAAGTTATTGTGAATGGCTTTTTTTATCAATTTATATTTTTAATTTTTTTTATATTTAATTATTAATCATTTTAAATACAATTATATTTTACATAGTACAATTATACTTCCATTGAATCTATTTACATTTGTCTTGAAATTTTTGTAGAAGATTATAGGACTTTACTCGACGAGGGGATACCCTACCGCAAGCTAGGGTATCCCTCTTTAGTATCATTTTTGACAACAATTCCGGGGATCCGGACCTATGAAAGAGGTGGAGAATGTATCATAGAAGCCATACCTACCGAGGAATCTGCACATATTTCAAACTTTATCGCTCGGCAGAAGACATCAACGAAGAAACATAAAAAATTCGTAAATAAATGTTTATATTTATTACATCTTTATGTGTATACATTTAGTTTATTACATCTGTACAACATTGTTGCAGGTAAATCCGCGAACTCATCCTCCGTATCGCCAGCCTGTGATGACAAAGAACTATCCGCGTACTACAAGATTTAATATAGATAATACCCACATGATTGGAAGGTAATGTCTTCTTAATTTCTCTTACAGTAGTATTGATGCATACCAACGATTTGATCCAAGATATATTTATGAATATTTAAATTTGTTATTTAGACAAAGCGCAGTCACTGCAATGCAACCGACGAAAATTACTATTTATCCAAACAGCGAGAAACCAAGATATATACAATCCAATTATGGAATACCACCGAGTTCTCCTAGTAAAGTGAGTCGTATTTGTGTTTACCGTGTTTCATTTTATCGGCAAGAGTAACAATGTATTTATGTACGTTTTCAGAGACTGAAAGACAGACAACAAGTTAATTCTGTTGTACCGCCAAACCAAAGTCCTCCTAATAAGCCTAAGGATGATTTTTATGTCAAGAACAATGAGAAGATGATCACACCTGTGATAAATCAGAAACCAAAGACTGTTAATAACAACGTAGAGACTTTTCCAAAGGGAAGAACTTCAAATCTTAGCGAAAGACTCAAAGTTACTCCTAGTATACCTTCATTGCTTAATATACCCACCAGTATTCCATCGCCACCTCCGCAAACTCCACCGCAATCTCCTCCGCAATCCGAAGTGTTGTCACCTCTTTCGCCTGGGCAGGCTCTAGCGGATGGTAAAATGTTGCAGTTTCCACAATTGCCAGTTAATTTAGTGGTAAATATTTAGCTGTACCGCAGTACTGAAAATATTAACTTTTTTTTGTACTGATTAACATATTCTTTTCAGACGCCATTAAACAATATTAGAAAGAACGTGCCAAGACCGCAAAGTAACGATCCACGAGAAGAATTGAGGAGGAGAGTTATTGCGTTAAATCTTCCAGAACCTGTATATCAAATTTGCCCCACGACAATTAAGAATGCGAAAGAGCGGGCCGTGTTCGCACAAGTGAAAGTATGTGATACTATTTTCTAAAGTTTACGTAAAATAAATATTTTGCGTATTTACAAATATGCGTAAATTGTTTTCCAGATTGGACCGCATGGATACTCAAGTTACCCCGAGGAAGCACGTACAGAAGATGAGGCACAAAAGCTTGCGGCACAGTTGGCTTTGTTAGATCTTAACGAGAAATATGGAGCACCGTTTCGTCTGCAAGAAACCAGAGATAAACATATAATAAAAGACCGAATTTTGTTCATAATAGATGCCCATCCGAACGGTATCTTTATGCATCAGGTACCTATATATTATAAAACAATGTATAAGGAAATATTACCAGCAATTTGGGAGAAAATAATCGAAGAGTGTCCGGCGATAATACTAGAAAAGGGTGTTGATAATTCAGTAATTCTGCGCAGATATGTTTCGTCCACTGAAAAGGTAAGAAAAAAAGGATTCATTGTAAACTGTGATATACGTGCAAACTTTAGATAAAACAAGATTATTATTTAGTACGTGATTTTTCAGGTACGAAATATAACTTCATCGAAAACTGATAAGGTACAATTACATCCGATTGGACCTCCTACACCTGGACAATTACAATTACCAGACGAAGATTTTTGGCTTGTGTCCGTTACGTGCGTTATAAGTACTACAGAGGTTTGGGTCAGACTGATAGGAGATGCATATAGTGTGAGCTAAATACCTTCTACAAGTTCTCATTCCGTGTATAATCTTTTAATTGTAAATACAACGTATTTTTATCATTTATACACAGGATCAATTCGACATCATGCTAACCGAAATGACTCAATATTATAAGAAAGCTCAATCACCTACAAAATCATTACCAATTGAAATTGGTAATTATTACGTTATTTTCGAAGATGACTGTTGGCACAGAGTTCGTTGTATGGATTACAATCAAACGACCGGAATGGCTACTGTTTTATTTATTGATCATGGAGACGAAGACACCTTCCATCAGAGTAAACTGCAAACACTGGACAAAACGTTCTGTGTGCTTCCCGCTCAGGTATAACAAAATGTTTATAAGAACGCAAAATGCTTTAAAAAGGTCAAGATATTGTAAAACAATATTTACTAAATGTGATTTTAATGTTGTACTAGGCACTGAGATTATGTTTCGCCGGTTTGGAAGACTTCGGCGAATGCGACACTATTTTGGGGCAAATTGAAAAGCTGTTGCTCGATCGTGCATTGTTCGTTGAGGTGATTAGTCGCGATAAAGATGAAAACGGACCATTCGTAACGGTTGTTTTTTACGACACACACGGACCAGACGATATTAACATTAATTCTGAACTGTCTAAACAAATTCTGCAACACACTGCGGCTGCCTCCAAATTAGACGTTGTAAGTATTTGACTGTTCTGATTCGAAGAATATCTACGAAAAAGGTATTTCTAAGAAATAATATATTTTTTCCATTGTTTTTAGGAGGGACAAGTATCCGAGGTATTCATTTCACACGTAGACCAGAACGGTGATGTTTTTGTCCAAGTACAGTCGGAAGGTATGAAAATTCTGGTGAGTTTGTTAAATCGATTAATATGCACCGGATTAAACGCAGAAGAAGTGGAAAGTTGTACCGTGACCACGATCGACGTTACTAAAACGTACTTCGTGTCGGTGAATAACAATTGGTACAGGGGCAAAATCGTGAACAACTTTTACGATCCATTAAGAGCATTCTTAATCGATTTCGGTAAGACTGTTGACACGTCGATGAGCAATCTTCTTTCGCTACAGAAGCTGTCCGAAGTGTTAGCCAAATATCCGGCTCAGGTAACTTATTATTTTTATGAAACTTAACCGTATTATCTGCAGATTCCGATTTTTATTGTACGCATTTCTGTTCGTTAGGCAATGAAAGTACATCTTCATAATATTGATAAATCAATGTTCAATGAAAAGATGGCTGCGAAGCTTGCACAAATTGCCCCCAAAGGAGAACTTCTTCTCGTGAAAGTCGTGTCGACTCGAAATAATGTGCCAGTCGTAGAGCTGTTTAAACGTATTCAGCCAAGTAACATGCTTGTTTCCATCAATAATACTTTAGCGCTAGAGGATGAATTAACTAGGTATAATGAATATACATATGCGTATAAATTTAGGAAGACTTATAGAAGAATAATAATTAATTATTTGTGTCACTCTCAGATCGCAGGGCGATGGAAATAATAATATAAAGCCAAGGAAACGCATTGAACGTGCCAATTCGAAACTCGCGGGAAACGAGGATGACGAAGTCAGGTGTCTGAAACCACCAAAAATTTCAGGCATCGGTGAATATTTCGACGTGCACGTGACAATGGCGGCACATCCGGGAAATTTTACTATCCAGCCATTCGATGATAAGCGTTCCTTGGAGGTAAATAGTAGTCTGTTTAAAATAGTGTTGCAAGAATACAATATTGACATCGATTCCCAAACTAGCGTTGGAGTTAAATTTATCAGTAGTATGTTCTTTTTGTGTTTTCTTTAGACTATGATGATTCAGTTGCAAGAAACTTGTCAAGCGTACAAAGGCCCTGCTCCGACCGCAGAGACAATGAGAGAGGGCAAACTTTATGCAGCTAAACACATAGATGGCCATTGGTATAGGTATAAATGAAAGCAAAATATAAATTACGCTTTTGCATTTTTGTTCTTCTGTATTCAGTATATTCGAGTTTATCGAATTGTATTATATTTTTTTTAATCAAGTTTTTTTAATCTTTCAAGGGTATGCATTTCGAGTATAATCAAAGAAAACATGGTTAGCGTTTACTTTTGCGATTTCGGGGACGTGTCGGTACTGCCACTGAGTAAATTGCAACCTTTGAAAAGTCAGTTCTTAGAACTTCCGTATCAGGCCATTAAAGCAACGCTTGCTGGTATGTAAATCGTTTTCTTTATCTTTCTTTTTTCTTTGTACATTTATTTTTCACTTTTCGATCTTGTCAGAAATATATTTTACTTTGTGCACGTTCTGTTGTTCATTCGAACAGGCATACGACCGATTAACGTTGACTGGTCTGTCGAGGATAGTTTGAGGTTTCAAGAGTTGGTGGTGGAGAAAAATTTTGTCTCGATTGTTGTTGAATCGAAGCACGGCGGACTTTCTCCAGCTGACACGATACTGGGTCTAAAATTGATAGACGTTAACACGGCCGAGGACATTTACATTGATCGACTGTTGGTAGAAGAGGGTCGAGCTACACGCATGGACTAATTACTCTGGCATACATAGATAGTGTACACGTTTGGATGCGCGTTACGAAAATCGACTACAGTGGCTCAAAAGTTTTATCGTAGTGAGACTGAAGAGACTACTGGTATGGAGAACGCGTATGAACACAAAGATAATTCTTTCCTATACATATGCTGAAAAGAAACGTTGTACAGATTCGATATTTTATCATTGAGGATAGTTGTTTGTATATAAAAGTAATTCTTTCTACTAAATGGTATTTGAAAAAATAACAGATATATGCATATATGCACACGCGTGTATGTACATATATGCATGTATATTCCTTCAAAAAAACTAGATTTATAATATCTGAGAAGTCATTATTCTTTTTTTTTCTACTTTTTCTCTAGCAATAATTTATTGATCGAAACTCTAAGCAATATATGGACACGTTTAACGAGTATGTTACATATTCTTTAGAGGAATTTGTTTACATGGTATATAGTAACTACGCACATTCATTTCAGATATTTTCGTTGTTTTATTATTATTATTTTTTTTATAACAATCGATCTATTTAACCTAGCGTGGTTGTATAACATCTGGCTGTGGCATGTGAAAGACTACAGGAGAGTTTTCACGATAATTAACAGCATTCCATTTTTGACATATGCTCGTCTCGATGTACGTTTATTTATCATTCTTTGTTTTCTACCATTAGTTTTCCCTAAGTTAGAATATTTAGAAGTATCTACCAAAACTTCCAGTACTCATAGAACGTTCTGTTCTTATATGTGATAAAACAGTTTTATTAGTTAATACTAATCTTCCTATAGTAACATTCTCTCTTATTGACAATATTGTTAATCCTTAGTTGATTTGCTAATTTAATTACATATAATCTGGAACGTTATTATACATAGTATGTTGTAGCTGTTTGTAGTTTATGCAACAAACGCAAAAGTGACTGTATTGATATAAAATATCCATATATCATAAATTTATCTTAGGAATCTCATTCGTTTTTTCGACGTTTGCATTAGATTCCAACATGTACGCGACGTTTCGGTAAAGTATATGATACAGGTATTAGCTAATTATAGAGCTTTGTGAGGAATTTTTTATTTTGTTAAACCAGTAAGATATAAAAATGATAACTTATGCGTTACGTTGCGGTAAAATATTATTTTTGATAATGATAACTTAATAAAAGGTGCCAATAAATACTAATGTTTACACGAACATGTCGTGAATTATTTTAAACTAACAGTTCCCCATAAATCTCTACGAATGAATGAAAAAAAAATCAATAGTAAATATATTTTGTAAAAGGATACTTTTTTAATTCTTAAAAAGACTTTTTTCATTTTTATTAAAATAAATGATTATACAAAACATCGTATTATATAACACATAATCTTTGCTGTTTCTGATTTGTAAATATAAATATATATCTCCAGGTACAAGCATTTGAATACATTTAAAAACGAAATATGAATAATCTTTTTATGAAACAATTATTTTGGTATATTGATCTCTAAAAACTTTAACAACATTTTACAAATTGTGTAAATTATTTAAGATATATACAAAATATTTTTATACAAACGTTCACAGTCATTACAATAGAATATATCATATAAAAGTAAATGTACCCAATAATATATACAGGTGTACCTTTTAAGAAATTTTAAAATTTCACTGAAGTATCAATCTAGGCAGTAAGTGATGGAAAAAATTATTTAAAATAATAGTATTACCTAGTGAATTGTGTAGATAAAAATATTGTATCTTTTTTAAGATTGTATACATACATTTAGTTCTATATTTATTTGATAAAGACACCAAAATATTTATTTTTACATCCATTAGGAATATTTTCAGTTTCTTGAACAATATATGTTTATAGTTAATTTTATAACATATATAATATTATAACACAGACGTCATTTTCATATTCAAATTTTTGAATTATATTACTTCCTAATCACGTGTCTTTTTAACATTACACATAATACATGAGGTAGGACATTAAAAAGATTGAAGATATTATACGGAAAGTATACGTCTATCACAAAGTATACCGTAATTTTCTTTAAATTAGTAGACTTGTGTATTTTTCCTTGAAATACTTCTGGTTATTGGTCTTGCCTGAGTTGTTAGTGCCTTTTTTTGTAAATGTAACGATCTCTTTTTTTGCTTTAACTCTAGCGAGGCTTTCCTCTTTTTTATATTCATTAGATTTGTACATGTTTGTGGTACAGGTACTTGAAGTATTGTACACTCTTTGGACGAACATGATGTATTATTATTAGAAGAACATTGTGATCGGGAAGTATCTGACTTATTTTCTATCATATGCTTTTTCTTCTTACAGTACACTTTAGCCCTAGGAGAGATAAGAACTTTAGGATTTTCTTTAAGCGAACGTGTGCTTATTGTCTGCTTATCCTTTGTTTTTGTTCGTATCAGCTCCAAAATTTGTAATTTTGCTAGATCAGGAAATTTTCTTGTTACTAAAAATTTCACAAGATTGTCCATGAATGTCAGTCGGTCTTGAGTGTTCATAAAGTTATATATTAAACATTTATGTATAGTCTTGTATTTATGATTCTTTACTTTGTATGTATGTATTGTACAATTATGATTATTCTTTAATTCGCACACCTCTTTCTCGCTGGCTAGACATCGATTAGTATGCGTGTTAGCCATACTTGTGACACAGGTAATGGTATTAGACTCGCTTAGGATCTTTGCGTATATTACTTTCTTATGATCACCGATAGATATCACAAATTGATTGTTATACATTATGAAACGAGCAACTGACCATTAATTTGTGTGCGCTCTTACAGCAGCATTTGATTGTGATGTGACATGTTTAGCATAAGAAATTACCTGAAATGAAAATTGCAATAGATGAATGCAAACTGTTGCATACAATTTTCATTGTAAGTAGTGCTTATGTAAATATGTTTTTGCTCTATCCTCAACATAAATAAATCTCTGCCACACATCTTTTCCTGCAAACATAACTGAAAGTGTGTTCCCCTCGATGAAGTTTTGCAACACTGTAAATACCAACACTAAGATGACAAGAAGATGTTACCTAGCAGGCTGATTAAGTTACGTACAGCGTGAGTATCGCGATCATGTTTTCAAGTATGAAATAAAATGGCATGGATAATTATAAACAATTCCGACGTCATACTGCGAGGTGGAACGACATTGGAACGGTTACAGAGGCTGTTTCACTATTCGATGTCTTACAAAGAGTATCTTTAAGGTGGAAATATGCGTTGCTACTTATTGTCCTGTTCAGTTTTTATTGATCGGCACGATGAATAATGCGCATCTGCATTTGCACTCACGAGCAGCGCGTTATTGAAAAGCGCACGCGTTGCACCAATAATTGTCAATTATTACACGCGTGTCACGCGTCGATGATTTATGAAAATCAATTTTCGTAATATCATGTCGTATCACGATATGTATACATATATGTATGTACGTATTTAAATATGTACAGTCTCGTCGGTATTAAAAGTGACGCTTATATTTTTAGGAAATCTAAGAGGTAATAAAAACTCATAAAAGTAAATGTGATTGAATTAGTAACAAAAATATGTTTATTCAACCCTTACAATACCAATAAGATTGATAATTTCATTTTATATTAAAACAATACTAAAAACAACAAATGTTTTCATTTTTTAAATATAAATTAAATAATACTCCCAGCTAGCACATGACGGCTAATGACGCCTTGAAGACAGCTTAATGACTCCTTAGACCTAAAATAGCCGTAAAATGTGCCTCTTCAAGGCGTCATGTGCTATCTGGGCTGTAATATACTATATAAAAAACAAATCTTGATACATGTATACAGTCAAATCTCGGTTCACGAACGCCTCAGATCATGAATAATTCGGTTTACGAACACATTTTACGAACACAAAACGTCTCGAATGACGTAAGTATATGTGTCCTGTGTCTCGAGTTACGAGTCGTAACTTACGACACGCACAACCATCAACATTTAAAAAAACACTATATACATTTTAAAACGTTGACGAAAACAAATCACACTAGACAACTTTTTAGTGAGACAGAGGCCAAGCGGGTCTGAAGCACACTCGAGTGGTGCTAATTGTAAGCAGTGCTAGTAGACAGAAAAATGAAAAAGAATTCTCTTCCAAACAATAACATTTCACTTCCACAGCACCTTCCCCTTACGCCGTCCACTCTCCCCCATACAGGTACGGTAAAACTAAATTAAGTCTTTGTCTATATTTGACTTGCTTAGTGGTGTATTGATGTTTTTTGTGATGAATTTAATGGTTTCCAATGATTTTGAATTAAGAACTTGTGTACAGAGTACTGCCCAGATAGCACATGACCCCTTGAAGACGTCCATTTTACGGATATTTTAGGTCTAAGGCGCCTTTAAGCCGTTTTCAAGGCGTCATTGGGCAGCATGTGCTATCTGGGTGTTGTAAAAGTTTAAATAAGCAATCATCTGGGGCCCAGGAACGGTGAATCCATTCTACAGTAATTCCTATGGGGAAAATGGTTTCGGTTTACGAACGACCTTTAGGAACGAATTAAGTTGGTGAATTGAAGTTTGACTGTATAATGTATTTATATAAGTAGTTAGTATGATGTTTGACAACACTTCGTTCTTATTACTTTTAAGAAGCGATTAGGCATGCTGTTTATTAATTTTGTTAGAGTGTCCAGAACAATCCGAGTCCATATTGAAATATAAATTCTCGTACGACATCATGCTTGTTTTGTGTCTCATGCACTCTGTGTCGAGACTGCAAGCATTTGGAAGCCCTGTCATAAATTCTCCAATGGTCAATAAGCGATAGGTCATCCGCCTTAGAATTCTCGTGTGGCTGCTTTAAAAGTAACTGATCTACTCGTGAATTAAAAAAAAAAAAAAACTACTGCTAGTATTGGATTAAACTTTTTTGGGAATAAAAAGGGGACATCTTCCAGTTGTAGAAAATATTTTTTTATGTCGATAGTTTTTACAGTTTCTTAATTAATGTAGAAGCTTGTTATCTTCTACGACGATGTA